TATTGAGCTCAACATATTGGTTTCCTTGGGTGTAGGAAGGAATTTATTTTGTTTCTTTGAATGAGTCATGTTTTCTGTTTCTTTTTATGCCTTGTGTGTGTGGTTTTTTTTTTGTTTGTTTGTTTTTTTGGTAGAGTCAGAGTCTCACTTTATCGCCCTCGGTAGAGTGCTGTGGCATCACACAGCTCACAGCAACCTCCAACTCCTGGGCTTAGATGATTCTCTTGCCTCAGCCTCCCGAGTAGCTGGGATTACAGGTGCCTGCCACAATGCCTGACTTTTTTTTTTGTTGCAGGTTCACTGGGGCTGGGTTTGAACTCACCACCCTCCATATATGGGGGCAGTGCCCTACCCACTAAGCCACAGGCACTGCCCGTTGAGTTCTTTTTGAATATCAAGCACTATTACAAGGTACTCTCAGAGTGCTAACATTATAGGTGCCAGCCGCCACACGTGGCCAATTTGTAACATTTGTAACATATATGAGAGGATAGAAATGTATAAGAATTTGAAATTTTGACCCATTTGGAATGGATACTGGGTTCCATACAAGGTATAACTCATTCTCTTTTTTTTTTTTTTTCAGAAAGGCCACCAAATTGTCCCCACTATGTTTATTTCAAAGTCCATCTTTTCCTAATGGATTTTAGATGTCCCATTCACCATACACTAAAATTTTTATTTGTTTCCACTTCTGGATTCTCTATCTACTCTGTTCCTCTTCTGTCAAGTCAGATGATAATCCCACATTATTTTAATTTTTTAAAATGTAGAGTATGTTTTGTTATCTGGTAAAACCAGCCCCAACTGCCTGGCATTGCCCCCTCATCCCCCAGATTTACTGTTTGCTCTTGCTTTTGTTTCTCCACTTGAACTTTAGAATACCCTTATTTAGAAAAATACATTTTTTTCAGTCAATTATGTTAAATTGATAAATTAATTTAAATGACATGTTTATGGGAGGCCAAGGCAGGTGGATTGCCTGAGCTTAGGAGTTCAAGAACATCCTGAGTAAGAGCATGATCCCATCTCTAAAAATAGCCAGGTGTTGTGGCAGGCACCTGTAGTGCCAGCTACTTGGGAGGCTGAGGCAAGAGAACTGCTTGAGCCCAAGAGTTTGAGGTTGCTGTGAGCTGTGATCCCATTGCACTCTATGACAAAGTGAGGGGGTGACAAAGTGAGACTCTGTCTTATAAAAATAAAACAAAATAAAAATAAGTAACATGTTCATGATGGTAGGGATTTCTGTTCAAGAACATGAAACTTGGTTGGGTGCCTGTAGCTCAGTGGTTAGGGCGCCAGCTACATAAACTGGAGCTGGCGGGTTCTAACCCAGCCTGGGCCTGCCAAACAACAATGACAACTACAACCAAAAAATAGTTGGGTTCTGTGGCAGGTGCCTGTAGTCCCACCTAGTTGGGAGGCTGAGGGAAGAGAATCACTTAAGCCCAGGAGTTTGAGGTTGCTGTGAGCTGTGATGCCACGGCATTCTACCTTGGCCAACATAGACTGTCTCAAAAAAAAGAACATGAAACTTTTCATTTGCTTATGTCTATTCTTGTGTGTCCTTTAGTAGTGTTTTAAATTTATCAGATGAGTGTAATGTATTATTATTTTTTTTTTTTGAGACAGAGCCTCACTTTGGTAGAGTGCCATGGCCCCATCACTTACAGCAACCTCAAACTCTTGGGCTCAAGAGGTCCTCTCTTGCCTCCAGAAGGGGTCTCACTCTTAGGCTGGTCTCTAACTCCTGAGTTTTAAGTGATCCACATGCCTCCCCCCCACCCCTACCTCCACCTCACACACCTACCCCCAGTGCTAGGATTACAGGCGTGAGCCACCATGTCCAGCCTAATGTATTTCTTGGTAAGGTTATTCTTAAGCATGTTATCTTATTTCATGTTTTTTTGTTGTACATTTAATGAATTTTATACCCAACTCCCTTACTTTCTCTTTTTATTTAAAATTACGTTATAAGTAACAATAGTAAAATACTTCAAAAAAGCATCTTTGTACTTAGAAACTATTTTCATATCTAACAGAATCCACTTTGGCCTGGGGGTAACCAGAGGAATTAATAAATAGGCTCTTTGAAAGACTTTAAACTTCAATTCCTTAATCTCTGAAAACCATGCTTTTCTCTTCAGAAAATGCTACTTCATTTCACACTACTCTTCAAACTTTAAAGTTATTTCTTTGTCCAAGATTTTCCAAATCAGTAACCTTAGCCCTACATACCTGTTCCCCTCTCCATTCCCCAGCACGCTAAAAAGAACCCAGAAGATTGAATGGTTTTGTCTGTAGGCCGAGGCTCCAAGCAAGAAAAAAAATAAAAGTTCCTTTGAAATTGACTTTCTCAAAACAAACAAACAAAAAAAAAAACCCAAACTGATTTTATTTTCTATTTCATAATAGTGTTTCTGAATATAAGTAAGTCAAATACTAGAATATTATCAGTTCAATTACATAACCTTTCTCCCTTTAAATCTTTAATAAAAACTGATGCTATAGGAAGATCCACCCTTGTTTTACAGATGACGTTCAGCGATTACTCTCCAATATGCAAGCCCAGTCACAAATGCAGTCATGCTCATTTAAAGTATCAATCACACACGCAAAATCCAGACCCCCAACACCCTAAGCCACAAACATCTGGACTCTTTTTCTTGCTTCCTGCAAACCCCACCTCACTCATCCATCACCATTCACTAAGAAGTCAGTAGCTCAGAACACCAACAACCCCATGCAATTTCGGAAACCCCTCTCTTTCAGTCACTCCAAACCCGCCCCAGACTTTGGTCTCACAACCTCAGGTTCCGAAACTCTGCACCGAGAATCAAACCAAATGCGCCCCAGAGCAAAGGCCAAAACTGCAATCCAAGAACTCTGCGCCTGCGCACTGTTTCAGTGCACTAACTCCTAAAATCTCTGGAATTTGGCCAAGCACAAATTTATCAGTGAGAGCAATTAAAATAACTTTTGAACTGTCTGCTAAAGGATTTCCCTGTTTTGAACTACATTTCCCAGAAGTCTCGGGTGCGAATTATCCTCCCAAGTTAACTTGCTCTCCTCCTCCTGAGGCTGTGCAGCTCCCGGGGATGGTAGGGCTGGTCTGAGAAGTAAACCCAGCGTCGGAGTGGCCTTCTTCGGGAGGCATGGCCTAAGCCTAAAGTGGGGTCTCGTGAGGTCTCCGAAGAGGGGTTCGAAAAGGAGCGCAATCCTTTCGGCAGAGCCGCAACTGAGCGGCGATTAGAATTCAGACAATCGGCAGCCATTTCGCCTGATCCTAGCCGGTGTCTGCCTACGTTTCCCAGAGGCCTCCTCGGCACGACCGTGCTTCTCGCGGGAATTCAGCCTCAAGTCACGCGCTGGTGGGATTCTAAGGGTTTCACCGGCACCTACTCCAGCGCTGTGGAGAATTCTTCTGTTTTGTAAGCTTGGAAGGCGGGAGGTGAGGAATCCGAGGAGAGGGCGGGGCCGGCGACTGAGCCCGGGCTTTGTGCGGTGGAGGAGGTGAGACTGAATTTGTGTGGTGGTGTTTGTGTGGTGGTGTGTGGTGAATGATCGTGATGAGTGTGTTTCTAACGATAACACTGCGTGCAGCAAAGTCTGGGAGTCTGGCTGTTGCTGTGACAGTGAGAGCCTGTGGGGTGTGTGTGTGTGTGAAACTGAGACCACGTGCGGTATTGTGTGCGCTGGTGTAGGGAGCCTGCCTGTGACTGGCTGGGTTTTATCGAGTTTGTCCCTATAGTGGTGTGTGATTTTGTGATGGTGTGACCGTCTGCAGCAGAGTACAGGTGGGGATACCTGTGAGTACTTTGTGTTTGCATCTCTGTGTCTCTGTGGTTAGTGTGTGATAGAGATTGTGACCAGGTGCGGATGCGCGGTGTATATGCCAGTGTGGTTGTGACTGAGTGTCCCCTTAGTGGAAGTGCAGTTGTGCATATGTGGCAATTTGTAGCTTTGGATAAGCGGCCCTGTTGGTGTGGCTGTGAGTTGCTTGCAGCTGAGGGTCCGCATGGTGTATGTGTGATTAGGTTTGTGCGATTGGGTAAGTGCGTGAGGTTTTATATTCACCTGTACCTTTCTAGGCATTATACTCTGGTTTTTCCCTGTTTTGAAACTTTTTATGAATGCTGTCACACTGCGTTTTGTCTTTTATTTGTACTATGTGAGAATCATCCATGTTATAATTTCAGTTCTGTTTCTTTGCTATATTTTATTGTAGCCACAAGTATCCATCACTTTTAGTAGTGATAGACATGCAAGTTATCTGTATTTATTTATTTATTGAGACAGAGTCTCACTCTGTCACCCTGGGTAGAGTGCTATGGCATTATTTTTTTAGTCCACAGCAACCTCAAACTCCTGGGTTCAAGTGACACTCTTGTCTCAGCCTCCCAAGTACCTGAGACTACAGGAGCCCACCACAACACCCAGCTATTTTCAGAAACAGGGTCTCACTTTTGTTCAGGCTGATCTGGAACTCCTGGCTTGGCCTCCCAGAGTGCTGAGATTACAGGGATGAGCCAAGCTGCCCTTCAATTACACTTTTAAGAGCTAATCACTCAGGCTCGGCGCCTGTGGCTCAAGTGGCTAAGGCGCCAGCCACATACACCTAAGGTGGCGGGTTCGAATCCCCAGCCCGGGCCCACCAAACAACAAT